CCATTGATGTGACTCTTCTGTGTGTGTGTGTGTATTTATTCATACATACATACATACACACAAACACACAATCCCAGGCAAGACTGAGAGGAGGCCAGACATGACTCATATACCTGACATCAAAATCCCTTATATATAAATTCAAGATCTGAAGTATTTTTGTCACTTAAGTACTCGGTTAAGTAAGGCAGTCTATATTGTATGTGTCTTACCCATTTCACTTACTGTGATGTTATCCATTATAGCAAAACCCACTTGACACCAACGCTATATTGGTCATTATTTGCTGTTGGTGATTCAGAATTTGGGGTGTTTTACAATTATTCCTACTGTGATGATCCTGTATGTGTAGGAGGTGGAGCTGAGTCTGTGGAGAACCCAGGTCTCTGGTGGTTGCATTATTACTGAATACCTGAGAGCTGCTATGTGCATTTTCCTGTACAAACAAAAGCAAAAACTTCCCTGGGAAGAGAGATGTGTGATGTTATTGTTGGCTGTTTGTTTTGTTCCCTATAACTGGAGTTACTGATGACCCTGACAGTTAACTCTATTCTTCAGCGTGTGTAAATGAGGGCAGCCTGTTACCCAGAGTGCCTTTCAACCTTTGTAGGTCAAGTTTCTGAATAGCTGAAGATTGAGGGCACGGTCTGGTCCTTAGCAAAGAGGTAGTGACAGTAGAGAATTTCCCTTCTAGTGTAAATCTGGTGTGTGAATTACCATGGTGTTAATCTGCGTGGGCCATCCCTGTGACTGCAGCATCAGTAAACATTTACTGAAAAGGGCCTGCCTGGCATAATGGCCACATGGCTACTGAAAGAGGACTTGGGCCAGCCCCGACCCCTCCAGAGGAGAGGCAACACTCACGGGAGCCATTTCCTGGGTTCTTCATCCCACCCCAAGCCTTCTTTTCATAAACCCAGCCAAGACTGCTTTGAGGGGAGATGGGACCTGATTCATATACCTGGCGTCGAAGTCCCACAGCTTCTGAGAAATAGAGAGGTCGCCTCAGCCAGGTACAACTGAAGCTTTCAAAATGGCAGATGCACCAAGTCTAGAATACTTAGCTATCTCCCACAGTTTTCAGGATTTGGGGTGTAGCTGGGAGGGTTTGAACATTGTGGGAATTCTCTCAGAACTTCCTGCGTGGTGTGTATTGGATTTCCTAAAGCAAATACAGAAGCAACGTGCTGTTTGTTTTAAGATAAAATCAACTCATGGCCATTGTGTTATTGTGTCTGATAAATCTGTGCCACATGTGACATGAGGCCCGTCTGTGTTCTTAATCCTGCAGTCACTTTAAGTTAAAATTACTGTGTACGCTTAACGCTACTCGTTTTTGTTAAATATGATGTTGCCAGAAGTAATAGATGCCCTGGGACATAAAACTAAAATAACATCAATTTTTCAGTCAAGTAATCTTTAATTTTAAAGTAAAAATAGCCTAAGCAGTAGTTTATGTAGACCTCAAATATCAAGCAAGACTCCTAGCCCAGTACTAGTTCATCAAACTGTAAATTTATGAGGCACTTAGTTAGCATTTGAACATTTTAAACCAGATCAAGCATGATCTGTATTAGAGACAAGCTCCAGAAACCCAAGAATCCCTCTCTTGGCTGATCTTGCTGACTGGAACATTCCTTAGGGAAGTCCTTCTCTGGGGCCCGCAGAGTGAAACATAACATGCCGTGTGGGCACGCAGTTGTCGACAGTGCAGGCAGCTTTTCTGAGCACTGTTTTAAACATAGTTTTGTCTCCTGAGAGACCAAGTTCTCTGGCCAGCAGAGTCTGGCAGTGTGGGCGAAGGAGGCTCTTTCATTTTACAACCAACTTGACCACCGGAGAAAACTTGGAAGCAGTCACAACTGAAACATTCCTCCATACGTGGCGAGGCCATTCTGCCAGGGTTTGGATCTCCTCTGATTGTGCTTTTCCAGACAACATCCTTGTTTTGAAAAACCCATCTGGTGGCTGCTCAGGAGATTCCAGCCTGGGATGATGGCAGGCGGCTTGTAAAAGCACAAAGCTAGACGAAAATGGGTTCATGTGTTGATTCTCCGTAGGACTGCGTTCCCCAAGGTCGACGACAAAGCAGGTTGAACTAGTCCACGTGCTCTGCTTACACCTTGTCATTAGAGATGGAATGGGGCCACTTGTTTAATGAGACGTTTTATTTCTGCAACCACTACACGTTTAGCAGAGTTCACTGAAATCCATCAGAATTTTCAGAAGATCTACCCATTTGAAAACTCTGTTACCAGTTTTGTTTAAAGATATCAAACCCTAAATCAAATTTAGGGTAAATTTTAACATCTTTTGCCAAATGCACTCGAAAAACCAGTTAGTTCTTTTTTTTTTTTTTTTCCCCCTTTTTCTCCCCAAAGCCCCCCGGTACATAGTTGTATATTCTTTGTTGTGGGTCTTTCTAGTTGTGGCATGTGGGACGCTGCCTCAGCGTGGTTTGATGAGCAGTGCCATGTCCGCGCCCAGGATTCGAACCAACGAAACACTGGGCCGCCTGCAGCGGAGCGCGCGAACTTAACCACTCGGCCACGGGGCCAGCCCCAACCAGTTAGTTATTTTAAAAGTCAACACAAAACAGAGAAAGTGAGCAAGAGAGAAAGGTGGATGGGTAGATAACTATGGATAGCTATAGATATAGATAGATAAAACAAGGAGGAAAAAAGTAATAAGTTGAGTAATGGCACTAGAAATGGGACTCATTTTATTTAAGGAAGTAACCATTGGAAATATATCTAAATTATTCTCATTGGTCAGATTGATCTGATAATTTCTTGGTTCTTCATTTAACTCTAATTGGATGGATACCCAATATCTTGGCAGGAGAACAAGACTGAATCTAACCAGAAGTGGTTTTCATTGTTCTGTTGAGCAAGTTGCCGCTGCGCTAGAATTAGGACACATATTTATGGGTATGGATTCTTCAATTTTTTGGTGCTTTCCCAGTATTAAATAGATAATCCATTTGATAAATATTTACAGAGTGCTTGCTCTGTGCCAGTCTCTAGTAGAGAAGCTGGGATAGAAAGCTGCCCTGAGGGAACCTGGTGAGTTGTAGGAGCCCAGGGGAAATCCAGAGGGAGAGTATTTTTTAGGGGAAAGTTTAGTAGAGGTCTGGACTGAGGGAACATGTGGCCATCAACATGTAGGGGGCACTGCAGAAGTGCTCTTTTCTGAGAGGATAGTAGTTGGTCAATTGACCAGTTAATCAAAAAATTGGTTCAAGTGGAGAAACATGAAGAAATTATACTTAAGAGCCTTAAACATTTTGTTTTAACTTAAGCTGTGAAAATGTTAATTTTTTCACCAGTTTTGTGGTAGGGGATGAAAACCTTTTCTTTGAGGGTGCGTGTCTGCCAAGTGGACTTCCACATTACCTTCTGCACACAAACCGCAACTATCATGCAATGAGTTTGCGGTCCAGGTTCTTTTTTTTTTTTAGATTGGGTAGAACATAGAAGACCTTTGTGAGGCAGTCTGGGGCACATTTTTATGATTTTTTCCCTCATCTTTTACAGTTGTCTTGCCCACACCCAAGTTGGCTGCAGTCTGTTTTAGCTACTGGCTAAGTTAGTTTTCATGAAAAAAAGTTTACTTTTGTTCTCATATTTCATTGGTTAACACAACATGTAACCACACATATTAATTGAAATAACAGGTATTACTGACATAAGTAAATTTGAGAATAACTACAATTAACCCTTGTTAAGCGTACCCTCAGCTCATAGGAGCACAGACGTGTGGGTGATGGGAGAGGGCCTTGCCGGCCCAAAGATTCAAGAGCACGAGTGCCAGGAGTGCCAGGCAGTGTATCTTACAAAGGACAGGGGTAGCTTTGGCTGATCTGACTCCCCCTGAGGTGGTGAGGGAGTGTCTCTGTAGGCAGGAGCGTGGAGTGGCCTGGAGGGTGTGCGGAGCAAGGACACAGCGGGCGCCTCTCTCGGGGAGACACCAGGATTAAGCAGTGAGTAGGGGAATGATGGAAGTTAGAGACCATGAGGACTATGAGGAAAATCAGAAAAATGTGGCTCCAGGGAAGTATTTGGCACCTCTTTTTATGATGATCTCCGTTTGTGTTGTCTCCTCTTCCAGGCTGGCAGTGATTTGAGGTCAGGGATGGCGTATTATGCACCATTATATCTTCTCTTTCTAGTCCATTACCTGGCACTTGGGAAACCTCTAATAAGTATTTTTAATTAACAGAAGAGCATGTCTTTTTCCACTGGGCTTGTTAACAAAGAATGGTCATTCTGAAGCACAGCAAGTATCTCCCCTGGAAATCACAGGTCAGCAGACTGTGTGCCATCGGATCTTGTGTGTTTTGTGTATCGGGTTACCCCAGTGACAGCGCGTGTGTAAGCTAAGACTGTTGTTCAGCTTGTAAGGTGTATTCAGTCACCCCTGTCTAGACAGGCATCCTGGTGTCTGTTAGGTACTATTGGGCAGGGAAGGTGACAGGTATGATTGTGGTGGACCCAGGTGTAATGATGTGAAAGACAGACAAGCCAAACTTTTCATTAATTTGAGGATTTGCACCTATAATATTCTATAAGTCAAAGTCTTGGATGGTTCTCACTACCCCTTTGCATAGTGACTTCTCTTTAAGGCAGCAAAACACTTACATCATTAGCATTGGGATATTTTAGTGTTGAAAAGCAAGTCTAATCAGAAACTTATAATTTAAGAACTATAATATCACACTTAATATAATTTGTTCATTCATTTATTATTCATTTATTTAGCAAAAGCTTAGCATCTGTTTGCACTATCAATCTTCATTCATTAAGTAAGCAAATCATCACCCTCCCTATTTCTCTAAGCTCGTGACTGTTGGTCTGCTCTGTGAGAGTAGCAGAGGACATCTGTCACCTTTTGTATTTAAGACTTGATTTAAGTTAGCATAGTATGCTGGAACCTGGAACTGGGGATGAGAAGCCTTGTAGCATAACTGTCCCTCTCTCCTTTTCTTTTCCCTCGGGCAGCTTGGGGATGAACCACGATGATGACCACTCATCCTGCGCCGGCAGGTCCCACATCATGTCAGGAGAGTGGGTGAAAGGCCGGAACCCCAGCGACCTCTCTTGGTCCTCCTGCAGTCGAGATGACCTTGAAAACTTCCTCAAGTAAGTCCTTCAGTTATTCTATACAATCAGTATAATACAAAGTACTTCCAAAAGACACAAAAATTGGAGTTTCAGCAAGTGTGGGAAGGAGAAATGAATCTCTTTTAGAATTCTCAGCTCGTCAAAGCTTCCTCCCAGGTGTGCGTATGGTATGATGCTCGGCACCCCACTGCTGATCATAAATGATTGATTGACTGAAATATCAACACAGTAATCAGGTCTTAAAAAGAATCCCATTTCGTTCTCTGCAGTATTTTAACTGTGCGTGGACACCACCTTAGGAGCACTCCTTGGCTGCTATAGGACAGGGCACTCTCTCAGTGCTCAGGCTGCTTCCCTTGATAAGGAGTACATTTTCTGGGGAGGAGGGCTTGCTCACCTCCCCCATGTGTGGGGATGGGATGGGTTTATCTCACTGCCACTTTCTTTCTAGAATGAGTCTGCATCATTCCATTCTCAAATTTCTGTGGAAGAATTGGCCACCTGATTTCAGACCTTTGTCAGAGTCTGTGCTCATGTGCAATGTAGTTCCCTTAGTGTCATGACCTCAGGGGTAGACTTACAGATTTGCCTGGCAGACCCTGATTGCTTCACTCCTTAGTGGGGGCTGTGAAGCTGTGCTTCACAGAGATGGAAGGGAGTCAGTGTCTCACCTGCACATGGAGCTTCACAGTCCAATAACACATTCAAGTGCCCAGTGAATTCAGGGTGGAGCAACAAAGGCATCGCTCTGACTTCTGTCCTCATCCCTGGTCTTCTTCATGATGTTTCCTGTGGATGGGGACATTGTTTAAATGGTACATGAGGCTTAAAAATGGGCTCGTTAGTTTTAATATAGCCTATGTCCTACTGAATACTTGTTCTCACAGAATCTTAATGAAATATGGTAAGCCACTCGACACTGTTTCATTTTACACAGAATGGTCAGTGAAACGAGGCAGGGTGTTTTCATTTGCTCATAGACACAGTGCTGATCCCACTGCCTTTGTTAAGGTGTGTGTCTGAGCCCAAGAGAGGTGGACCAGTGTCAGACTGTATGTACTTCCATGTGTGTAGTTCTTTTCTTCAAGAATCTTGGCAAGAGGCTGGGTTTTCTTTTTTATTACCATCTGCCTTGTTTTAGGAATTAAAAATAAAAGCATTCAAGTCTTTAACCTCCTCATGGAAGCACAGCTTCACAGCCCCCAGTGCAGTTTTCCAGAGATGTTCTCAGCATCTCTGAACATCCCCATCCTGGTTGAAATCCTACAGTTCTTTACAGAGTGTGCCACTGGCTGGCTTTCAAGGATGGCAGAGGGTATAGTCAGGTGAGACCCCCAGACCCACCAGCTTCCACGACCTCACAGGCCCTCCAAGAGAATCTTCAGAGTTAGAAATAAGCACTTGGTTTTTATTTAAAACAAAACAAAAAAACACTAACTCATGTTTGTTCTTTATTCTTAGTAACTTTTCCTCAAAGCCATATTCTAGGAAAATATAATAGGAATCCATTTCAAAAGTATTTTCATCCAAGAAAGTTCACAGACTCCCCGAGAAAAGTAAATGAGCCTCATGAGTGTTAGTCCCAGGCCTTTTCCTAGTTGCCAAGCTCTCGTTGCCTTCTACACTTGGCCATGTGGAAAAAGAGCAAAAAGAAAGAAAGAGCACAGTCCAGTGTCCGGTGCCTGGGTCATCTTCCCATAAATAATTCAGAGGTGCATCCTTCTCAGTGACTGGCAAGTCAAAACAAAACCCTGGGAAGTACATTTGCAAGTCTACTTGTCTCTTGGCTGTTTCAGGTCGAAAGTCAGCACCTGTTTGCTGGTCACAGACCCCAGGAGCCAGCACGCAGTGCGCCTCCCTCACAAGCTGCCAGGCATGCACTATAGCGCCAACGAGCAGTGCCAGATCCTGTTTGGCACCAATGCCACCTTCTGCAGAAACATGGAGGTAAGCAGCCACGGGAGGGCTGGCTCAGGAAGGAGCATCTGGCTTCTGTTGGAGGACACAAGTATTCACATTACATCCACACACATATATACACACACACATTCACATACACAGCCATGCATATACATACATCCTCATGGGCATTTGCACAGGTGCACTCATAGAGAGCCACACATGTACACACATGCATACATATACACACATAGGTGGTTTTCTTCAGAGTTGCTACTGACACCAGTAGTCTAATGTTTTGTTTTTTAATCGAAAGGTATTTCTTTCTTTCTTTTTTTAGTAGCCTAATATTTTAACATGAAAAATTTAGCACACTAGGGAAAAGAAAATCAACCCGTCCTTCTTGAAAGTGATGTAATGTCACCTGATATCAAACCCTTCACATATATGAGAGAGCTAAAAACAGCTGAACTCTGGAGGGTATCAGATTGAGGACATTTAATAAGTAGTAGCTTGATTATATGATAATAGTGTTAACAGCACCATTAAAATGTTACCATTTACTCAGCCTGTGTTTGATCCTAAAGCTTCTAACATGCGTGATCCCAATTAACCCTCACCACAGACTCCCTTGGCTACTCTCCCTGGGGCCTGGATGGTAACTCCAAGCCTCAGAAGTTAAGCAGTCATTCAGGTGGCTTGGTTAGTAGACAGCAGAGCAAGGATTTGATCAAGTTCACTCCAGAGAGCACACTTTCTCACCATGCTGCAGACAGTAAGCCCATGGCTTGGCCACTTGTGTGGGTGGAGGTGCCAACAGGGACATACCAGGACCTGGGGCAGGGGAGTCTCTATGCCGTGGCCTCAGCGGAAGACCAGAGCAGCCTGTAGTCCAGCCAGCCGTTGGCAGTTGGCTCAGGTAGAGGAGCAAAGCCTGCACCATCCTGGGACACGACAGAGCAGGAGAACCAGCTGGGTTACGTGGGACTCAGGAGCCACCCGGCGGCCGTCAGCCTGAGGGAGGCTGTCCGAGTGCTGGAGCTCATGACAGCATCTAGCCCCAGGGAGTGGCCTGGAGGGCTGGGCGCGTTCCCAGAGCAAGAACTCAGGCTGGGAGCAACTCTGAGGCAGACAAGTACACCAGGGACTGTCTCTCCAGAATGAAACCCCGGGCTCCCAGCCAGCAGAACAGGTCAGCCTGCACTCCCGGCGGCGAGATGCTGCCTCTTGAGTGCTTCCTGCCTATGTGTGAGTTGATTGGGGAAATCAGGGTGGAACCTGCAGGTGGGGCGCTGCCTGCTATTGTTTAGGGTGTGGAAAAGGGAAGCACCCCAAAACCAGGCTAGCACCTCCTGCTGTTTCCCCAAAGGATGTTTAGCCACTACGTTGTCCTGAACCCTCCTCTCCCATTACCCTGGGGAGTGTGCCAGCAAGGGTCCCTTCCAGGCCTTGGAATGGGAAGGTCTTTCCTGCTTCACACCCTGGAAGCCTTGTGCCTTCTTCCCAGCAGCAGTGGGGTTGAAGGACACCTCCGTGGGGTGATATGATGGGTCCCAGGACTCGACCATCCCCAGCAACCTGCCTTGGTGCCTGGTGCTCACCATAAGCCTTGACCATTCAGGCTCTCATTCATATATGTACCGTTTACTAGCCAAAGGCGTCCTGTTTACCTGTCCCAGCCTTTAGTCTCTTAAAGTGCATGATGGCACAGAGCCATAGGAGAGGGCGGATTTCAGAGGGTCCTTTGATGGTGTGATGACAGCACAAGATCCAAGTGGATGGAACCCTAGAGGAGGACACTCAGGAAGAGCAGAAGTGTCCAGAGCACCCAGGATAGAGAAGAGGGAAGCACCCAGCTAAATCAGTGGACATGGAGTGGCCACTCTATCCACTGTGGAGTCTCATCCAGGGCTGGTGGGATGTTGTAGGCCGGGCTGAGCTGGCCCTACCAGGGGCAGGATTGAGTAGGGTGGGAGCTTGGCAGAGACTCCCTGCTCCCTGAGAGCCACAGCCATTTTTGCCTTCTAGGAGCCAGGCGATTGCACACCAGTTGGGTGAGGAGAGAGAGAAGGAGGGAGGTGTATATACTGGGGACTCACGATCTCCCAGGCTGGGCTCTCTCCATGCTGTCACACGAAACCCTGTCTGCAACACTCAGATCAGGGGCTTTGAACCCCATTTAACAGATGAGAAAAGAGAGGCTAAGAGAGGTTAGATAATGGGCCAGGGTCACTCAGCCAGAAAGGGGTGGGCTAGAGGCCAAGCCCAGGTGTGTCTGCTTCTGAGGGAGAAAAGGCTGTGGTCTTTCAGTGAAATGAAAGGGGAGAGTGTGACCTGGTATTTTATTTTCCTTCGTTAGCATCTTTTTGTCTGAAGAGAACAATGAGAGGTCAAGAAGTAATGATCAGTTCAGCTATGTCACTCCTTTCTCCCTAGAAGCTCAAAATACAAATCTAAAGTAAGATCTTCCCATTGTGTAGGTTACAATGAAACTCAACATTTATTCCTGCAGCTCACTAGGAACCACAAAATGTATTTTTCTGCTTGCCTTTTTCTTGAGAATTTCACCAGTAATAAAATAAAATTGGCATTTTCCTTCCCAATGCATAGCAGGAGTGATTTCTTAGTGAGGAGGGAGGGAGTCCCTGTTTGCAAGCCTGACTAGATGACCACCAGCCTCAACTAGTTGCTGGTAATCGTCCTGCTTGCCAGGCTGGTGTTGGCGTCCTTCAGCACAAATCTAACAGATGGCAGTAACTTTTCACACTGGAGAATGTCATACTACTGCAAAAGAGGCCGTGCTGGAGATGACGAAAGGCAGAATGCCAGCTGTCCCTTGAGAAGCAAGGACTTGGAGAGTGCTGCCCTAGGCCTGGGACATGTCATCCGAAGCTAACCCCAACTAAGGTGGTGCCACACTGCGGAATTCTAGGGCTCACTTTGTCATCATTTTGCTCATTATGTGCCTTTGTAAGCCTCTGTTTCAGTTGATGTGCAGTATAGCAGGAGTATATAGTTAGAAGTTACAGTTAGAAGTTATAGTTAGAAGTTCTTTCTTCTTTCCTGTAACACGGACTCACTGGTGCTGCTATGAGTGCCCTCCCTCCTCGCCCTGGTCCTCATCCCCTTCTGTGCTCCCCTTCACCTACTCTGTTCCAGGTATACTGGCCCATCAGGCCTACTCCTGGCAGGGACGCATCCGGCTTAATGCTGGCTGCTTCCTCTGCCTGGACGCTCTGCTCTCAGTTATTCACGTGACTAAGTCCCTCATCTGTTTTGAGTTTTTTGTTTTTGTTTTTGTTTTTTCAGACGTCGCCTTCTCAAGGAGGCCTACCTGGACCGCTCTATTTAAAATTTCAATCTGGTAACCCTCCTCCGCCCACTCTTGTAACACCCAGGGAAAGCCCTGCTTTCATAAACTTACCATCTTTTAACAAGTGACCTAATTCATTTCTTTATTATGACCATTGTTTTGATAATCTCCTTTGTCTCGATTATAAACCCTTCAAGGGCAGGAATTCTTGCTTTTGCTCACTAGTGTTTTCCAGCTGCCTTGGCTGGTGCCTGGCACGTAGTAGGTGCTCAGTAAGTCAGTCTTGTTCTGGGATTCAGTCGTGAGTCCAACAGCAAGTTTGTTAGGCTCTTATGTGGTTTCACCTAACTGCTGATGAAGCTGTGGACGAGCTCAGAGTCAGGGAAGAGACCCATAGAGACCTCCCCACATAATGTATTGACTGTCTAAGCCTGAGTTCACATTTCTCGATCTGGTTCACCAATGTACGTGTAAGACTCTGTCAGATGCCTTTCAGGGGTCCATACAAACCTTTCCATGGCTTCCTCCCAGGACAAGAAACCATTCAGGGCCGCACAGTGAATCTAGTAGTCAGTGAATGCAGGCTGCTTCCTGGTGGCCATGTCTCTTTCTCTGTGCATTAGTGTCCTCACAGGTAAAATCTGAGGCTCCTGGTGAGTTAATACACAGCTACTGAGAACTGGATGTGTCACAGAGTCAGCACCCAATCATGTGAGCTGATACATGTTTACTGTATTACCTTTCTGGATAACAATGATTCCCATCTGTGGGAGTACAGAACTAATCTATCTGTGTGTATCTCCAGAGTCAGCATTTCTCTTTATTGAACTCCTTGGGGCTGTGAAAAATTAAGCATTATGAAAAACCTGTACTCTTTAGGCAACTGGAGATATCCAGAACCAATCACAGAGGTCTTTTAATCCAATGCCAAATTGGCCTTTATAACCATTATTATCCTTTAATGCCCTTGAGGATTGAAATGGATATCGTGTAATGAAATGATCATGGATGGTCCCAATGTTGCCTTTAAATTTCTTACTTTAAATTCCTGACTTCTGCCTTTGGTCAAGATGGAGTAACTGGGAGCAGATTTACCTTCCCACCTGAAGCAACTAAGAAACCAAATAATATATATGAAACAATGATTTTCAAGACATTGGACACCAAGCAGTGAGGAACTGTGATCCTTGAGAGATGTGTAACAAATGAGGTGAGCCCTCTGACTGTCCTGGCTGACTGCCTGGACAGTCTCCAGGCTGTGGCACAGGGAGGGAGAACTGTGAAGAAGCAGTCCTCCTGAGCTGAGGAAACATCTGGGAGCATAGGGAGGCTGAGGCAGCTAGAATCCACAGAGCAGAGTATAGAGGAAGGAGCTTTACAAAGAGAGAACCTCCCAAATCTGCACAGGGTCCCCCATGGATATTCAGCTTAGTACTGAGCGATGCATGTGTATAAGAAAATTACCCAAGGCCAGGAAAAGAACCATCTGGAAGTGCTAGAGGGAACAATCTCTGGAGCTCACCTGGGCATCAGGTAGAGTTCACAGAAGGGTGTTGCATCAGTAGTGTGGCAAAATCAGCCCTACACTAAATGCTGATCTGGTCCCACCTAATAAAGTGTAAAAGCAAAATCTACGAGGGTCAAGCAGTTTCCAAGTAACTTAACCAAGTCCTAGAACAAAGCTCAGAAATATTTATAGAAATAGAAAATTATTCAGTAGCTAATAAAATGAAGT